ATTCAGTCTCTTTGCATGTATCCAACCTGAAAATCATCGCCTTGCTTTGCGTGTTCCCTGTCTGCTGCCCCCATAGGAAGACAAGCTTCTTGAAAGCAGAGGACAGAGGCTCTGTCTGCCTTGTTCTCTGCCATGTCCCCAGCACTTAGAATAGTGCAAGGCACACGACTGAAGCCCAGTAAATATTAGTCAACTGGCTACCCAGTGCCAGACCCTGTCTAGGGAAATGGGGGTGCAGGGGTCTCTGCCCACAGGGAGCTCATGCTTTACAGGTGGTGACAAGTGACTAAGCAGAGCTCTCCTGTGTTCTTAGACACCCCAAAGCAAGGCTGGCCAGTTCTACCTGGGAGGCCAGACATGGCTTCTTATAGAAGAAGCCCCCAGCACTGAGTTTAGAAGGATACCCAGGTGCTTCCCTAATGAAGGTGTGAGGATGTGGGGAAGCAGGAACTAGTCAGGAAGCAGCAGGTGGTTCAAAGAGACCCAAGGAACGGGCTGTGTGGAGCGGGGTGTGGGGACGCAGGGAAACGTCTCTGCCCAGAGGCAGAGCTGAGCTTCCTCCGGGGACAGCGGTGAGCCCTGAGAGGTTGTTTGGCTGTTGATATTTTGGCTCCTTCGGTGCTGAGGAATCTTAAACAGAAGAATGACTTGGACGGAACTGTATTTCCAAATGATCCCTCTGCCAAAATCGGCGTTCCCGTGTCCCTTGCCCAGTCATGACCGTATTCGGGCATATTTCCAACGACTCTGCTGCCCTCTTTCTAAAAATAGCAAGCCTTTCTTTGGAGGCACATAATTGCACAACACGATATTTCAAAAGGATTTATATGTGTTTTGATTCTTTGGGACTCACACTGTCACCCAAACGCCTGTCTTCAGTCTTTCGGTCCATAGTTTCACAGGTCAAATCCCGTCGTCCAGCAGGTCTCATGGAGTAGACAGATGATGGAAGGATATTGCATGGCGTAGAACTTAAGTTCTGTTTTTCTTCATGTCTTCCACATTCGGGTAGAAACCCAGTGCCCTCAACAGTGAAATGGAGTAATAACCATATCTACCTCATAGGATCCTTTTGAGGATTAAATTAGTTAATGTTGCATGTAAAGCTCTTAGAAGAGTTTTTGAAACACAACGAGTGCCATACAAAATGTTAGCTGTTGTTATTTTTGGCACCGGCATGGTTTCAATTTCTAGAACTGATCCAATAAACTTGGAGTGGAAGAAAAGCATGTACGTGTACACGTTGTGTGTGTGTGTGTGTGTGTTGTGTTCATCTCTCTTGAAGTAGGAGCTGGCGTGGGGGCATGTATATGCACACACACTTCCACAATCACAGACCTGCCGTGTGCCCAACCGAGCTCCAGATGTCTGCATATGCTGTCGTATGTTACTATCCTCACTAAAGTCCTGCAAGACAGAAGTGATTATCTGCGTTTTGCAGAAGAAGAACACTGGCTCAGAGAGGTTGACAACTAAAAGTTGCATAGCTTAAATTGCTTCTGTTTGCACATCCATCTCTCCGTGCAGCTCAGTTCCTCCAGGGCAGGGACCCCATGTTTCCACTTTGCATTGCCAGCGCCCAGCACACGGAGGGAGAGACATGCCCAGTGAATGTTTGCTGAGTCTGAATCCCTATGTATGTTATATGGCCAAAATCACTCTTGAAAATCCCTATTAGTGCATCCAGCAAATATTAATTGGACACCTACTGCTGGCAGTGGAGATAAAGCAGAAACCGGATGGGCAAAGTCCCTGCCCTGTGGAGCTTGGCATCTAGTGAGGGAGTCAGCCAGGGATTAAACAAATGGTTAACATTAAGCAGCTGGTTAATATAACATCAGATAGTGTTCAGGGATAGGGGAAAATTAGACACCTAAGGGAAGGGAGAGGAATGGGTAGGAGTAGGGCCAGGAGTAAGAGTTCAATGCCGCAGGAGACAGTGTGAGTGCCTCAATCATGCCAAACTGACAGTCTAAGCCTGGGTCATCCCTGAGCACCTCCCTGCCCCAAGTGCAGGCAAACCCTTTCTGGCAATGGCCTTATTCCCACTCTAGCAGAGCCCAGTTTCGGCACATTCATTCCTTCAATGGTCCAGCAGACATTGATTAAGCACCCACATGAGCCTGATGCTGGGGACACAGAGGTGTAGCACAGGAGTCCCAACCCCTCTGGCTGGCAGGGGCCACAAAGGTAGGATGTCCAGAATTCTGCAGGTGCCTTTGTACAAGGAGCATCTGGCCCCAGGGATCCCATCAGCTTTAAGCACGTGCTGTGTCCCAACTGGCGACCGACTCGTGGTAAATGATTACAATAGTAGCTCCGAGTCTCCTTTTCAGTGTGAGCCTGTCACTCCTCTCATCCAGGGATAGAGTCTATTTCCCCATCCCTGAGTTGGGGCTAGCCATAATTATATATTAGTTTTCTAGTGCTCTGTAAAAAATTAGCATGAACTTAGTGGCTTAAAACAACAACCATTAATCATTTCAGTTTCTATAGGTCGGAAGTCCAGGTGCAGCTTAACTGGAATCTCCCCTCAGGGCCTCACAGGCTGCCGTCAAGGTGTTGGCCAGGGCTGTGTTCCCATCTGAAAGCTCGGGGTGCTCCTGCAAGCTCACAGGTGGACAGAATTCAGATCCTTGTGATTGCAGGACTAAGGATTGCAGGATCCTAGAAGCTGCCACCATTCCTGCCACGTGGCTGTCTCCGCAGTGTGGCAGTTTGCTTCTTCAAGGCCAAAAGAAGGACGATTCTGCCTCAAATCCCTCCCCTTAGGAAAGGCCTTTCAAAGAGCTCACTGGTTAGCTCAAACCAGGATAAACTCCCTTCTGAGTTAACCTAAAGTCAACTTCTATGTCATTTTAAGCCACTAACGTTGTGGTAATTCATGACAGCAGCAACAAGAAACTCATACGCCTTGATTCTGGCACTAGTCACGCTGGGTGGCAGGTGCCTCTCACCTGAGAGTGCCTCAGCCTGACAGCTTTGTTTCCTGATGGTTTAACACAAAGCCTGACCCCGAACAGGGGCTCTTGAATGCTGTAGAATGAACTAATAAAAATGGATTAATGTTTACCTGCTTCATCCTGCTGCCTGGACCCTCAGCCTGAACACACACATGCACACACATGTACACGTGCGCACACACACACTCATATCCACACAGCTCACCTAACATCCACCACCACCTACCCCTCCCAGGAGGCCTCTTGGGCTGGTCAGCAAATAGCAGTTCCTTGGGAACACAATGATTTTAAGGGGCGGAGGACTGTATTTCTCTCAAGATAATAACTGGATAAATCTTCAGGGATACAGGAATGGAAAGCTGAATTTTTGATGTGGTTGATTTGAAACCCCAAGAACTGGCATTGCAGCACAGAAATGTAAAGCTCTTCTTTGCTAATGAACAAGTGATGTGAGCAAGAGACAATCCTGACCCTTACCACATCCCCATTCCCTCCCACCCATCCAGCCCACCACAGACACTGAAATGACAGTGAATCTGTGGCTAATGACGCTGAAATATGTCCACTTTATGTCATTAAGGGAGAGAAGCAGATTCCAGAATAGTGTGAATAGTATGAGCCCATTTTGTTAAAAAAAAAAAAATTAAATATTTAAGCCTGGACGACGCACTGAAACTCAGTGTCTACAAAAAATAAAGAGAAATAGCCCTGAGACATGGCAGGTGCTTGCAATCCCACCTAGGAGATGCACCACAGTGCATCTTGCTCAATGACAGAGCAAGGCCCTGTCTCTAAAAAACAGACACACAATGTATTTACACAATGGCGATGTATGTGTACATACACACAATGTATTTACGTGTATATAAATACAATGTATATATGTGTGTATTCTCATATATACAATGCATAAGTGTATGTGTATATACAGGTACACGTGTGTTTATGTAGGCATGGAACAGAGGTTGCAAGAAGATTCGTAAAGATGCTAACAATGGTTTTATGGAGATATGGGCAGCTACCCTTTGCTGTATTTATTAAATTGACAAAGAACAAGACTATTAGCATAATAGAAAATAAAGTTTTAATAATTTCAGAACAAAAAAAGTGGAGCGTTTTTCATGGCGAGGGTACTTTGTGTCCCTCCGGGACACCCCCACGTCCCTCTTTCCCCCCAAAGGCAGCCGGTCTGGTCTTCCCAAGAGCAATGGCGGAAGCACCCTAGGAGGTGGGGGGCAGGAGTCTGGGAATCAGAAAACACAGATAGGACCGACTGCCGAATGACCCGAGGATGACCTGCTTTGGGCCCAGCCTGGGGCGTGGGGAGCCTGTCCTCGCGCTGTGGCCTCTCCCGCCTCCCGCCTCCCGCCACTGCCACATCGGCCTCGCTGCAGTCTCCCCGGCCTGGGGTGAGCCCTGGGGTGAGCCCTGGGGTGAGCGGAGGTGCCGCCCAGACGTGGGCCGACGAGCAAATGCACCGGATCGTCTCGGCCTCACTCACCGCACCCCCTTTCCTGCGGTGGCGTTTTTGTTTTAACTCATCTGAACTGGTTACAAAACCACACTCCCACGAATACATAAATAATGGATTCGGGGTGTGGGGGGGCAATGTTTTAAAGAAATTCCCGCAAGGCCTGGCATGGCAACGGCAAATGCATTTCTGCTGTATCATATTTAACTGTTTGCAGACTTCTGCGGGAGGATGCGCAGCGGCGCCGAAACCAAGGATTCCATCACCCTTCCCCGCACGCGGCCTGGCGAGAATCGCGCAGAGAGTCTCAAAAGGAGGGAAGAAGGTGTCGGCGACCGGGGCTGGGAAGATGGACAGGGGGCGAAAAGCCTAAGACAGCACCGCGCCCGAGCCGGCTCCCCGTGAGCCAGTCGCCCACCGGCCTCGCTGCCAAAGCGCCGGCCGCCAGGCGGCCCCTTTAAGAGCCAGCGCGCGCCCCCGCCCCGCGACCGCCGACTTTCCCTAGCAACCGCCCCCGGGGAGGGGAGGTCCTGGCAACGGCGCGCCGGCCAGGCGGGTCACGTGACGGCCCGCAGCTGGAACGCGAGCGCGCGCCCCGCCGGGGCCTGTCGCTGCGGCGCGTGCGCGAGCGGTGCCGCACCGGCCGCGGGAGCAGGAGTATTATGGGCTGTGGGTGCCGCTGAGCAAGATGGAGCTGTCTGCAGTGGGCGAGCGGGTCTTCGCGGCCGAATCCATCATCAAACGGCGGATCCGAAAGGTGAGCCGCCGCCCGGAGCGGGCCGCCGTTCCCCGCGGCCGGGGCCGGGGCCGGGGCCGGGGCGAAGCGGTGCGCCGGCCGGGCTCTCCCGCGCCGCCGCCGCCCCGCGTCCCCGCACCCTCCCCGCCCCCACTCCCCCGTTTCTCCCTCTGTTTTTCAGGGCCGCATCGAGTACCTGGTGAAATGGAAGGGGTGGGCGATCAAGTGAGTGTCGCGGCGCGGCCGGGGTGGGCCGCGGGCGCCGGGCCTGGGCGGCACGTTCGCGCTCCGCCGCGCCTTGGCCGCTGGCTTGCGTTTGATTCTGTGCCGTGTGACTCGGCAGGTACAGCACTTGGGAGCCCGAGGAGAACATCCTGGACTCGCGGCTCATCGCAGCCTTCGAGCAGAAGTGAGGCGGGCGCGCGGGGCGCGCGGGGCGCGCGGGGCGGCGGGAGCCCGGGCGGGCGGCGGCGCGGGGCCCGGCGGGGGCTGTTCCTAACCTCTGGCGTTTCTTGGCCGCAGGGAGAGGGAGCGTGAGCTGTATGGGCCCAAGAAGAGGGGACCCAAACCCAAAACTTTCCTCCTGAAGGTAACCTGGCCCAGCCCCAGCAGCCCCCGCTCGGGCCCCCAGCCCCAGCTCAGCACGGGGCCTGCGAGGGAGGGACGGACCCGCGGCCGCCCAGCCGGGCGGGCCTTTCCAGAGGGGCCCCAGCTGGGCAGAGGTGGTTGTGAGCCCCCGGCAAGCCCCTGGCAGCAGGCCGTGGCCGGCTTCTGCTTCAGCTTCAGCAAGAGGGGCCTGGGAGTGGGGATAGTCCTCGCTGATGAAACCAGGGTCTGGGGGCATCCGCGGGGCTCCAGGAAGGGGGTGGCCGGGGCAGGTGGGGGCTGGGGGGACCGTTTCTGCTCGTGAGAACCCTTATCTCCCCCAGCCATGAAACCATTAGCAATGCGCTGGAGTTAGACCCCAGGGGAGAGCGAGTGAGGTCCCACCTTGGGGCAGGGCACAGGGAGAGGATTTGGGGGGGCACCTGCCTCTCCCTCCCAGTTTCCCACATTCTCCCTCTCTCAGGATTTGTTCTGCGTGGCTCCCTTCCTCACTTGGGAATCCAATTTGAATTTGATCTTAAATCACCTAACCCACGCTGAACCACTGACTTAAGGGCTCTGAGCCTCAGTTTCCCCCCACTTCTGGCAATTTCTGGAGGATAGGGTTGGGGGAGGTGAAAACACACCGTATTAGCCTTGGCAAGGGAGGGAAGAACTTCCAGAGGAAGCCATCTTGGAGAATTTAGGTTTTTATTTTATTTTGAAGAGAAAAAACAGAGTCTGGGAAAGGGAAGGACAAATTACCTGTGGTGGCAGACAGCGAGCGGTGCAGGTGGGACTCACTGGGCCACCCCAGTCTCCCCATAGTGCTAAAGATGTCTGAAGGGCCCCTTCCCAGCTGACAGATGGCACTTTGTAGGAGGACTGTTTTCAGGGAAGAGGCTGTGCTGAAATGAAGGCAGAACCTCAGCGTCTCCCAAGTTGTCCGAAAGGCTCAAAGCCCAGAGGGTGGGGTGGGCCTGTCCAGCCCTCTCCCCCGACCCCACCCTGACTTACCATCCCTACCCCCTACAAAGGCTTTGCTTTGCACTTAAAGCAGAAGTGAAATGTTGGCTTCCAGAATTCCGTATTTCTGTCACCCCACCCTGAACCGACACACATCTTAGGGGGTCCATGGAATAACCTTAACCCTGATGCTTCTCCTGGAGGAATGGGGCGGGGCGGCGGGAAGGCTGATGGGCAGTGGCGGCTTCTCAGTGCCCTCTAGCGGCGAAGCAAGTAATGACCATGAGCATTGATACACAAAGTACCTTTTTTCTTGATAATTCCAGTTCTGAGCTGGTTATGGCTCTAACACAGTAGATTACTTGAGCCCCCCCACATGGATTTTCTCCTTTAATTCTCTCAACAGCCCGTGAAGTGGGGAGTATTGTCCCCATTTCACAGATGAAAAAAATCAAGGCCCAGAGAGGGGAAGTGACTTACCTGAGGTTCCACCACCCAGCTTCCTGGCTTCATCCCATTTCCTTTTCTTTGTCTTATCCCTCAAGGAGTACATGTCAGGTTCTAGGGGAATGTGGGCACACACAGGGAACTGAAGGCTGCAGAGTTGGTGGGGCAGGGGATAGAAGCAGACAGGAGAATCATGATGTGGATCTTAAGAAACAGGCAGTTGGAGACTAATGCGGACGTTTGCAAGGGGCTGTGGACATCAGCTTGGGCTGAACCGCTGCTCTGTGTCTCCCTGCGGGTGCTTTCTGTCAGAGTCAGCAGGTTAAACTCAAATAGCTCTGCCTGCCATCATCTGCTCTGAAGAGAACAACCCATGAGATAGGATCCATTCTCCCCATTTTACACGTGGAAAAACAGGCCACAGGGGATAAATGCCTTGCCCACAGAGTCAGTGGTAGAGTCCAGGTGCTTTAACCTTACATGCTGTCTACGTGCCAGGCCCCCAGCCATGCATGGCACCTTGTCAGGGTGCGGCAAAGTACTGGCTGCCAGTTATTTATTTATTTATTTATTTATTTATCTTATTTTTTTAATCCCTTGAAACATCCAGGATATTTTTTTTTTGAGACAGAGTCTCGCTTTGTTGCCGGCTAGAGTGAGGTGCTGTGGCATCAGCCTAGCTCACAGCAACCTCAAACTCCTGGCCTCAAGCAATCCTTGCTGCGCCTCTCCACGCCCTACCCCGACGTACTGGGCACTCACGGCATGCACCACCATGCCCGGCTGTTTTTTTCTATATATATTAGTTAGCCAATTAATTTCTATTTATAGTAGAGATGGGGTCTTTTGCTCAGGCTGGTTTCGAACTCCTGACCTCGAGCAGTCCTTCTGCCTCGGCCTCCCAGAGTGCTAGGATTACAGGTGTGAGCCACCGTGCAGTTATTTTTAATTCACCAGGCAGACCCAGATCCCATCTTCAAAGAATTCAATCTGGGGAGAGTGGGGAAGGTAAACCAGTCCCTTTTCAAAAATTAACATAGGAATTATAAAGTGTTTCTCATGGAAACTTTGGGAAGCGTATATTAGAAAAAGGTGATTGCTCTAAGCCTGCCACCCGTGGGTAAATCTAGTGTCAGTTACTTGCCGCATGCCAGGTGCTGGGCTAAGCAGGTGCCTCGTTCTCTGATCATCACAAGAGCACCTGTAGTAGTTCCTGGTGAATGGCCCTGAGAATGGGGGAAGTTAGGCTCGAGGCCCACTGAGCCACGGTTTCTTTTCGGGGCCTGCCATTTGCCCACGCTCTTTGCCACTCCCCCAGCCACTGCCTGTCACCGTTGGACTCTGACAGACTCATTACTATAGTGGATGGGAAGCTCAGGCTGTTGGAAAGAGTAAACACTAACCCCCAGGGGTCAGAAAGTGGGAGTCCCCCATGCTGTAGGCGTGAACCTGCTAGGCGAGAGCCCCTACTTGCTATGCCAAGGAAGGCCTGGGCTTTTCTCTGCCTTTGTCTGGGAAGGGATTTGAAGGGCCCAGTCCCCAGGGAGCTCATGTGGCTCAAAAGTGGGGGGGCAGGCTGGGCCTTGTGTGCTGCCATCTAGTAGTCAAAGGGACTGTTGCCCAAGCAGCCCCAGGAGTGCCAAGCCTGGGCTGGGAGGGCCCTTCTCCCGTGGGGGAGATAGGATTCCCACATTGTAAATGAAGACGTCCTCGCTTAGCACGGAAGTCAGCAAACGCCTCTTCTGGGGGTTAAATACCCAGAAGGGGGTATTTCACCCTGCTGGTTCATGGGCACTTCCCATCTCTGAGAATAAGCAGCCTGAGGGAAGGGGGGGACACAGGACCCGTACTGTCCACCTCTCACAAATATTTGTGGTCAAATACAGTCTAGCCTCGTCTAAGGGGCATACAGGCTCCCTCCCGGGTACTGGTTAAGCACCCAGTGCTGTAGGGAGTGAGAGGCAGAGACTCCAGATCCCACCCTCAGGGACCTCATGGACTGATCATGTCCTTCCTCTGCCCCCACCATCTCCTACCTGGATCAAGGCAGTCACTACCTAACGGCCTCCCTGCCCCACCAGGAGCCAGAGTGTGTAAAGCACAGATCCATCCTGGCACTGCCCGAGGCCCCCAGCCATTGCTCACGTCCCATCGACGACTCAGTGTCCCTCACGCCACTGGGCGCTCTGCCCACAGGACGCTCTGCCTGCACCATCTGCCTGTCTTAGCAGCCACCTCGGGCCTGTCGAGGGCATGGTCAGTGCTCAGCCAGGAACAGGATTTTCTCCTACTTAGGGACCCATCTTTGATGTTCCAGCTACCAAGACTGGACTGTGTGCCCCAGTCTGTGCTCCCCCAGGCCCTGTTCTCCCTTCACTGCACCTGCACCGAGTCACTGCTCTACTGCCTGTGTCTTCCTGGTGACAGAGCAGTCCCAGCGGGGAGAGGCCATGTGTGCTCACAGCTGCACACCCAAGCTGCTGGCCCTTCTTTGCTAGTTCCTTTATTAGTGAAGGAAGGGCTGGCCATGGTGGACAGCTTATATGGCTTTGTGAGTCCCCTGCCCTCCCTCCATGCCCTGTCATCTGACGACAGGGGGGTTGGACCGGAAGCTAGAGTCTCTTGAGAGCCTTGCCACACCAGGTCTTCCATGAGGTAGCAGGGGTGCTGCAGAACCCTGGGACTTCAGAGAGTTAATAACTGGAAGGACATGTGGGCCCAGGAGCCTGGGACGGTATCCCTGGCTGCCACAGACCTCTGCACAGAGAATATGGAGTGGTCGGTCCCACCTCTAGGCTTGCCCCCACCTCACCCATGTCCAACCCAGGCTTTGGGGTCCGTTGGCACCAGTCCACCGTGACCCAAGCACAGGGGCAGACAGATGGATCAGACCCAGGAGGGCAAGCACCAGGGGCTGGGAGCATCAGGAGGCCAAGGGCCTGTCCAGAGATGGTGACCAGCTAAGGAGGCACATCAGAGCTGGAGGTCAGCCTGTGCAAAGACCTGAGACCACGAGATACTGGGGACCCTGCAGGTGGGTGGAGCCGAGAGGACCCACCTTTCTATCACCAAGAATGGGTCCATGGGAGTTCTAGGCTGGACTGGGAATCTTCACAGAGCAGGGGCTTCTGGGCAAAGGGCTGTCTCCTGCCACTCCTCTCCCCACCCACCGCCCCCCTTGCAGTTTCCAGATCATTGACCCCGGCACTGGTCCACGTCAGCAAGGGCAGCTGTGGGGCCATTTGTTTCCGTCTGCTACCGCACTAGCAGAGCAGTAGGTGGTAGCACACACACACTGGGTTTGGGAACCTGCACGAAGGGTCCTGACTTTGACCTCAGGCAAGTTGCTTCACCTCCCTGAACCTGTTTTCTCTGTAAGTCAGGGGCATGAGTACCACTGATTTCTCCTAAATGTGCTCAGGGTCATTTACCAAGAGGCTGTACTCAGGGGTAGTGGGCGCAGTGTTGTCCAGAGGAGGTCAGCGGGCGGCCCTGAGGTCCCACCCACCCCTCTGCCCGCAGGCACGGGCCCAGGCCGAGGCCCTGCGCATCAGCGACGTGCACTTCTCCGTCAAGCCGAGCGCCAGCGCCTCCTCGCCCAAGCTGCACTCCAGCGCAGCCGTGCACCGGCTCAAGAAGGACATCCGCCGCTGCCACCGCATGTCCCGCCGCCCCCTGCCCCGCCCAGACCCCCAGGGGGGCAGCCCCGGCCTGCGCCCACCCATCTCGCCCTTCTCGGAGACGGTGCGCATCATCAACCGCAAGGTGAAACCTCGGGAGCCCAAGCGCAGCCGCATCATCCTGAACCTGAAGGTGATTGACAAGGGCGCGGGAGGAGCGGGCGCCCCACAGGGGGCCGGGGCGCTGGCCCGCCCCAAAGTGCCCTCGAGGAACCGCGTCATCGGCAAGAGCAAGAAGTTCAGCGAGAGCATCCTGCGCACCCAGATCCGCCACATGAAGTTCGGCACCTTCGCGCTGTACAAGCCCCCGCCCGCCCCTCTGTCCCCCCCACCTGCCAGCAAGGCCGACGTCACTGCCTCCCCGGGCCCCGGGCTGCTCCTGGCCACCCCCGCTGCCCCCTATGACGCCCGCAGCTCCAGCTCCTCTGGCTGCCCCTCACCGGTACCGCAGTCCTCCTCTGAGCCCGATGATGCGCCCCCCAAGCTGCTCCCCGAGACCACGAGCCCATCTGTCCCCAGCTGGCGTGAGCCTGAGGTGCTCGACCTGTCCATCCCTCCTGAGTCGGCAGCCACCAGCAAGCGTGTGCCCCCTGATGTCACTGCTGCCACTGGCCAGCCACTGCCCCCGGCCCCCGAGCCCGCCAGTGCCTCCTCTGAGCCAGAGGCTGGGGACTGGCGCCCGGAGATGTCTCCCTGCTCCAATGTGGTTGTCACTGATGTCACCAGCAACCTCCTGACCGTCACTATCAAGGAGTTCTGCAACCCAGAGGATTTCGAGAAGGTGGCTGCAGGGGTAGCAGGTGCTGCAGGTGGGGGTAGCAGCGGTGGGGCAAGCAAATGAGGGGCTCCACTGAGGTGGGGGCTTGGGGGGGCCTCCTGCCCAGCGTCGTACTCTTGCTCCCCCCACCCTTGCCCCCAGCCTTCCCCTGTGCTTTGCTTTTTCCATGGTTTGGTGCTGGCCCAGGGATGGGGCTGGGCAGTTAGAGCCCTAGAAGGCTGCAGGGTGGGGGCAGCCCTGGGATGGGTTGGGCCTGGGGCAGGCAGGACACCAAGAAGTGCTCCCTCTTGTCCCTTGGCACCCTCCCTGCCCACGCATGGTGGGGCCCACTGGGTGGTTTTGGGGAAGCCCCAGAGCCCAGGGTTCACCTGCCCCTTCCACACCCTGCCCATCTCTCCCCAGCTTGCTTCCTGCTCTCGTGCGCAGCATCTGGTTTCTCGGTGCTAACCTGGCAGCTGCAAGGGGCCTCAGGAGACCCCTGCCCGGGATGGGCATGGTCCCTTTCCTTCCTGCAGATGCCTGGGCAGGAGGGGGCAAGATGGCTCCCTGGCAAGGCCCCAGACAGGTTGAGGCTGAGAGCAGACCCAGCCCTTCCCTCCCGGGCAGCGAGGGCCTCAGAGGCTCCGTCTTCCCTGCTTGCTGTTGGGCCCTCAGCCCCACTCCCACTCTTCACTTTCCTAACCCCCATCTCAGTGGTGGGAGGACCTGGCAGAGAACCTGCCCTGCCACAGCCTTCCGGCATCGAAAGGCTCCTTCAGCGCTTGACCAAAGGTGCTGTGAGAACCTGCTGTGGAACCTGCGGTGTGCGCGTGCATCTGCCCTGCTTGCGTGTGTGCGTGGTTGTGTGTGCATTGGGTGCTAGGTCCCAGGCCATCCGGGCACCCTATACAGTTCCTCAGAACAGGGTCATTGAAGGCCTGGACCTTCCCTTGCCTCGGTGGGCCCGGGAGTCGCGCTCGGGCCTGGGGAGTGTGCTGTGGAAGCCACCAGGCCTCCCCTGCTGGCCCAGGTGTGCTGGGGGCCCCACACCCCCTGCCCTCCTCGTGGGGTGGTCAGCCCGACCTCAGGCCTTCACTGGGGAGGTGGTGTGGAGCCTGGAGCAAAGAGCAGACCCCACTCTGAGCCTCCCCTTCCTGCTGGGTGTCCGGGAGGACGGGGAGGCCTGGACCATGTTCCCAGGGGTCTCCTGACTTTCCTCAGCCCCTCTCTTGCTCCTGGCCGCTGAGGCTTTCTCACAGCCCAGCCTGCTCGGAGCAGCGGGAGTCTCGGGTGCCGGGGCAGCTTGTTTCCCTCTGCTGCCAGGGAGCCGAGGTGTCCATGCCAGTGGCAAAGACCACAGCCCGGCTTTGAGCTGGGCATCGAGAGGGGACACAGGCCAAAGGGGAGAGACAGTCGGGCCTGTGCTCTTCAGGAGCGTGAGGGTGTTGGTCCCAGGAGCAGCACTAGGGGCTCCTCCAGCCAGCCCTGGAGCCCTGCCCTGGTCTCGGCTGGGCAAGGGTGGCGTGTTCCTGCGCGTGGCTGGAGCTGGCTTCCTGGCATGTGCAGCTGTGGGCACCTGCGCTCAGAAGCGCCAGGGCAGAGGCAGAAGCGAGGCGGGAAGGGAATCCACCCAGAGCACGCGTCCTTGGTCCCAAGAATGGGAGGACACCTTCTTGACCTCCCTGCCAGGGGCTGTAACGTGGCCCCCTGCCACCCCCTCCCCGCCCGGATGTAGAACACTCCTGGATTCCTCCAGCCCACCCCCGCCCTTCGTGTTGGCTTCGTGGCCGTCCAAGTGCCAATTGGCTTCTCCCCCAAATAAGGGCTGGTATTTCTCCTCTGTCCCGAGAGGTGATTTCCCCCTATGCCCCTCCCCCAGGTGAGTGACCACCTGGGTGCCAGTTACAGGTGTTTTCAGAGACCATAGAAATGTGTTTTCCTGAGAGTCCGTGTCATTCGTGACTTTTTTTGTAAAGAAGTTGTGTTTTCAGAGGTGATTTTATGACAGGAAAGTGAAAGAATTAGTTTTGCAAAAAAACAAAAACAAAAAAAGAGGAAAAAAAAGAAAAAAGATAGAAAAAAATATTGTGGGATTCCTAGGGGAACGGGGAGGGGGGAAGAAAGAGATATTTAAAGAAAAATTTAGAAACGCAGTGATTGCACAGGTGAGGTGGCAATGTTAGGAATAGGGCGGAGGCCTGGGCCCAGCTGGCGGGTCCCCTGGGGTCACAGGCTCCGTGGAGAAGGCCCACCCTCCTGCTGGCCTGGGCCTAGACTGCCACACCCATCCTCGCTCAAAGGGAAGGACGACAGTCCAAGGGAGCCAGCCAGCAGCTGCAGGGGCCAGGCTCGGGGTGAGGGAGCCGAGCTGGGAGGGGGTTGCGGGGTCCTGGCTGCCAGGGCTCAGCGCTGGTGATTTGACCCTTAAGGTTGGCGAGGAGGTAGCTTGGTTTCTTGTCCCTCCGTTGCCAGCTTGTTGGGCCATCTGGTCCCTACCACCACCATGGGGGGTGCATCTCTCCTCCCATCACCCCATAGACCATGACGTCCTGGCCTGATGAGGGAAGAAAGACTTCAGGAAGACAGGAGCTGTGGCTCTGGGAGAATCCCTGGCTGAGACTGACCCCGTGTAGCTGTGGGGGAAGGGAGTGCCCACCCCTTTGCACACCTCGAGCAGGTTGCTGCCCTGAGCTCCAAGCCAGGCAGCCCTGCCCTGCCCCTGCCTCGAGGCCGGGGCTCCCCTGGGGGGCCTGAGTGGATGGGACCAAGGGTGAGCACAGCCCTCCTTACCTCCCTCCCTGGGGCCCCTGCCCCCACACACACTTGCACCCGTGGCCTCCTGTGGGCCCCTCCTCCAGCCCTTGCTGCTTTCCATTTGCCTAATTACCAAGCAGAAGTTGCAGTCTGGTTTGCTTTATTTTTGTATGTGAGGTAACCCCCAAAGCCCGATCTCCAATGTTCAGTATTGGGTGGGGCATCATTCATCTCCCCTAAGTGCACCCCCTCCCCACCCACGTGTCATAGGAAATGGGTGAGGTCTGATGTCTCTGGTTTGAGATGGAAAGTTGGGACTCATTCCTGTCTGTCGCCCTTCTGATCCTCACTTTGCCCATCTGTGAAATGAGTGTGTTGGGCGGCAAGGCCTCTTCGTAAGTGCTGCTGATGTCCAGGCAGCTGCCAAGTGCCGGGTGTGGTGGAAGTTGCTGGCACTGGGGCCTCCAGCCACCCACAGCCCCTCTTTATTCTCGTCCTGCAGAGGGATCAAGGTCAAAATGAGCCTCATCCTTCCTCTGGTCTGGGAAGAGGTGATGATCAAGTCCCCAACCTCAGTGTGAGGCAGGCGGAGTGGGGGATTGCCCCTTTTCAAAGAGGAGGAAACAGGTTCTAAGAGGCACAACTGCTTCACTGGGGGGATGTGCAGGGACGGGGGCGCAAGATGCCTTGGCCTTTAGAAGGTGGGGCCCAAGCCCTGCAGCCAGCACAAAACTGGCAGCTGAGCCAGGCCAGTGGGCCTGCCCAAGGCTGGAGGGTGGCCCAGAGGAGGGAGCTGGGTTAGCTGGGGGCTTGGCCACAGCCAGCCCATCTGAAGACCCAAGATGACGCACCCCCTTTTCCCTCACGTTTTCTGTTTCGTTTGTTGGGATTTTGTGTGTGGTTTTGTTGTTTTGTTTTAGTTTGGTTTTTGTTTTTGTTTTTGTTTTTTTTTTTTGCACTTCGCCCGCGCTGGACGGTGGAGCCTCACCTGCCAGCTCTGCTTCTGGGCTCCCATGCACTTGCCCAAGGCAGCCTGTTTGGGGCTTGCATGGTTTGAGAAATCACTTCTTAAAAGAAAAAAGGAAGGTGTTAAAGGGTTTCATTTTTTCCTTATCTGCCTTTCGGATTGAGAAAGCCCAGAATTAGGGGCTCCAACTCCAGGAGAGGGGCTCCTCGACCCCTGTTTTGCGGACAGTCACCAAGGCGCAGAAATAGGGGGATGGTTGGGTGGGGACCAATGACGGCCCTGGGCCTGTGGGGTCCCACCACCCCCTGCAAGCCTTGAGGGAGTCACACTCCACTGCAACGTGAGCGCTGCCTGCCGCGCGCGTGGGGTGTGACCCGCCAAGGGGGACCCATGGTCTGATGGGGACGCGCTTGCAAGAGCAGCAGGAGTTCTGGCCACCCTTGCTGCTGGGCAGAGTGGAGAGGGAGACTTCTTTTTGTTGGTTTTAATTTAAAAACACAAAGGCCTAAAGAAATATGTATCTTATAATTTTTTTAATTTTTGAAAAGTTCATTTAATGAATTGTGCACGAATGAATTCTATATATATAAAATATACATATATAGCTCTATATTTGGGGAGGGGCACTGTCTCTTTTTTCTCTCATTTTTAAAATGAAGTGTTGTTGCCTTTGTCTGTGGTTCAACCATCCAGCTCCCAGCTGGCTAAACTTTGCCTCCAGTGGTTAAAGATGGGAAAATAGTGGGGTTGGCAGGAGACTGGAAATGGAGGTGCCACCCCAGTGTGGGGGGCAGGTCCCCCAGTCCACCTGCCCCACCCGTGGTGGAGAAGACACCTAATTTGGGGTGTGGGTGTGGGCTCTGCTCTGGGTTCGTGGCTCCTGGGCCGGGGGAGGGTGGGTCTGTGCCGATTACTCTGTCTTGTACGTTCGTTCTGCTGCTCTTCAATATTGTATCAACGCCAGGAACGGGGAGTGAAAAGCCTCTTTTACTCCCCGAATAAATTGTCACATTCCGAAGCTAAGGCCCAGCCCCTGGAATGGGGTGTGTCTGTCTCATTTCTTCCTGTGGTGACTGGTCTTCCAAAAGCATCAGGCCTGGGGCCCTCCTGCCACAGAGGGGTGGGCAGTGCTGTCCCTCCACCGCCAGGGCCAGGCACCCACCTCCCATGCTTCGCCAGCCCGCAGCCTCCGCACGAGCTGGTCCGGGGGTGCAGAGCACCTGCTACTTCCGAACCCTCGAGAATAACTGGTGGGTAAGTGCGTGGTGCAAGTGGGAGGGTGGGTCCCTCGACGCAGCGCCTTGCGTTTCATTGAGGAGCTGCCCCGTGGTTCATTGAACAGCCGTCCTTCACGTTTGTGTTCTAGGGCGATGATGAGATGAGGTGCCCACTCCCCACAGAGGCGGGCTCCTGTGCCTTCCCTGGGGGCCTGGTGCTCTACCCTGGAGCTCCATCCCAGTGTGTCCTGTGGCCATCTGCTTGCCAGGCCTTGGATAGGAGGCGATCTCGAGTGCTTCCCTTCCTCACTGCCCTCTGCCTGCACCATGAAACTCCCCTGGGTCTGCCCTGGCCTGGCCAGCAGCTCCCCACCCTGCACCCCCAGGGGCCCAGCCTGGCAGCCAAGGCCCTGCTGCAGGGGGTGCCCCCACCTCCATCCTCCTCCCTCCTCCCTCCCCAGCCAACCCCACACGTGCTCCTTGTTGCCCCCAAGAGTCCTCCCCTTGCCACTTGCCCTTGTCTGTCCCCCATTCCTAAGGTCAGGGCTATGTCATCTCCTCTGTCCACAGCTCAGCGCCTAGCACACGGGTTGGCCGTTGATTCAGCTCTTCTTTTTTTCTATTCTTTTTTGAGACATAGTCTCACTCTGTCACCCAGGCTAGAGTGCGGTGACTTCATCATAGCTCACTGCAGCCTCAAACTGCTGGACTCAAGTGATCCTCTTGCCTCAGCTACCAGAGTAGCTGGGACTACAGGTGTGCGCCACCATCCCTGGCTAATTTTTTCTATTTTTAGTAGACAGGGTCTCGCTCTTGCTCAGGCTGGTCTCGAAGTCTTAAGCTCAAGCAATCCTCCCGCCTCAGCCACTCAGAGTGCTAGGATTACAGGCCTGAGCCACCTCACCGGCCAGTTCATCTCTTCTCTGTCACCAAGCTCAGGCCTCCATTACTAGCAGGGACAGTGACTGGGAAGTGGACCTAGGACTCACCGAGACTCATCCAGCCATTTCTGAGCACTGCCAGTGGCCCATCTGAAGCAGCCAGGGGCCAGCAAGACAAACCGGAGTGTGTCCCTGGTCCTGGGTAAGGGGCTGCCGCCGGGCAGGCAGGTGCAAAAGGGACTCACAGTGGTGCCAACAGGGCAGTGGAAGCCAACTGGGAGGTTGGGGCTGGGCCTCCTCCAGGGCACCTGGCCACCTCCCTGTCATCTTGAGCACATGCCTTAGTGAGGGCTCCCAGAAAGCCCTCACTCAGTACCTACTTTTAAAAAGCACTGAATTACCAGTGCACTTACTGCATGCAGGCACTGGTGACGTGAGCACTTCGCCCGTCCTAGCCCGCGTCCCTCACCAGCACCCTATGAGCCCGTGAGCAGGAGCAGTTGTGGGGCGCAGGAGGCCAGAGGGGTGAAGTAATTCACTCACTTGCCCCAGGTGGCAGGCCCGTCCGCTGCAGTCGGCCTTCACCCCAGCCCATCTGTTTGCCCCAAGCCCTGAGCTCTCAGGGAGTGAGGACATGGGGGCTGCCCTTGGGAGGCAGGTGCATCCTGAAATTAGTCACTACTGTCCCTTGTCACATGTCCTGCCGTTAGAGCAGCAATGTCCTTCTGTGAGTTGAGGGCTAGAGAGTGAGGCCATGGCCGCTAGGGTTTGAAATGAGAGCGCTCAGACCCAGCGTGCAGAGCCCGACGCCCATCCGAGAGCTAAGGTCAGTGGCAGGGGGAGCTCAGGACTGGGGCAAGGTAAGGCGTGGAGGTGAGATGGGATGAGGACAACTATTTCTGCAAAATTACCTGGTCGTTTTTTAAAAGCTGAAAGTTGGATGCTTTTCTCATGGGTGCCAGGCTGTGCCTGTGGTGAAGAGGGAAGTCAGAGAGGCTGCATGAAATAGTCGTATTCCTCTCAATAGCCAGCACGCCTGCCAGCCCACCCTGCACCTCTCTGTTCGGGCTGCTGGGAACAGCCTGAACTTCAAAAGGGCCACAGGGCCTATAGAGGTCCGAGCACAAGGACACCAGATCCACAGCAGCTGCATCACACAGGAAGGGCAGGGGACAGGCCCAGCCCCGCCTCTGGACATCCGCACACCTGAGCGTTCTGCCAGGGAAGCTGGGAGCTCGGGGGAGTGTCCTAGGAGGGGCAAAGGCCTTTGAGAGCTTTCAAGACGGAGCCTCTTAGCAAGCGCCTGCATATCTGATGAAGCAAAGGAGTGGGTGTTGGAACCTGTCAGAGGAGGCTGTTTGGGGGAAGGTGAGTTCAGATGAGGACACCTTGGGAGTGAATCAGCCAGAGGGTCTAGGGGGGATTGCCACCTGTGGACTTGAGGCTTGGAGGGAGTTCCTACCCGCCCATGCCCAGGCACTGTGGAGAAACCTATAGAAGAGCCTTTGTCCCTGAGAGCACCTCAGCTCCAAGGTGACTGGTCACCAGCCCTCCTGGATGGACCACCAGGGACTTAGGTGCTTAAATCTGGAGGTCACCGGGAAATTCCAGAGGCCAACATCCAGCTTCTTGCCTCCCACCGTATCTCCCCAGTCTCATGCCTTTCTTCCCCATGAACAGCCGGTGAGGGACAATTCACCCTGTCAGGAGGAAGTGAGGCCAGGGAGTCCAGGGGCAAGAGGGCTTCCCCAGGAGGCTCAGAGGCAGAGAGAATGGAACCCAGGTCTGGGCCATGATGGATGGAACCTTCTGTCCTGCTACACAATTCTTACAGACACTGGATAAAATGTAACATAAAATCCTTAAAATACCCGAGTCGGTTTAAGAAAAAAAAAAAAACAGGGACCAAAACCAAAGAGGAAGCCAAAAAGAGTGACAAACAGGTGTTGATCCTTTGGCCGCCCTTCAGGTTACCCCTGTGGGTAACCCAGGGGGGCAGAAGGAAGAGAAGGCATTGGCCTTTGTTGATCTTGGTCACTAAGGATCTTGGATTTTAAACCTATAGAGGCTGGGAGACAACGGCTGAGTCCCTGACCAGTGTAGATTTGGAACTAAGATGCTTGAATAAAACTGGACCCATGTCCCTGATGAAAAAGCAAACTGAGGAAAAATCACCCTTTTGCAAAGGGAGATGTCAAAGAAGTTGTCTGGGCTCATTTTTGGCTCTGTTACAAACATAAAAAAAAATTCTCTCTTGAGAAATTGTAACTCTAGACCTTCCCTAACTCAAATTTAAGGTTTGGGTTTGTATTGCCCACATGGTCCCAGAACTCCCAAGTCTAGAAATTAATATGAAGAAAAAACCTGGGGTAGGTTACACCACAAAGCTTGTGGCAGTAGCTCTTTGGAGGGCCCCGCCCACAATAAAGGCCACACGGGATTCTCACAGATAAAACTCTTGCAAATGTGAGCTCACACTCAAAATTACAAAACACACAAGAAGCCACGGAGATAAACAGCAAAACAAATAGTGTTTATAGAATCCTGCACCCAACACATTATTTTCAAACATGCCATGAAGATTTCCAAAAGTTCCCATGTATATCATGTAGCAGGACATAAAGAAACTCTCAATAAATTTCAAGAAATTGGCATCACAGATCATATGTAATTAGGTTAAAAATCAATGGCAAACAGTAACCAAAATAGTGTGGTACGAGCATAAAGACAGACATAGACAAATGGAATCAAATAGCCCAGACATAAACCCTCACGTATATGGTCAAATGGTTTTTGACAAGGGTGCCGAGACCATTCAGTGGTGAAAGGACAGTCTTTTTAACAAACGGTGCTGGGAAAACTGGATACCCACGTGAAAAGAATGAAGTGGGATCCTTACCTAGTACCATATACAAAAATTAACTGAAAATGAATCAAAGACATAAATGTAAGACCTAAAACTAAAACACTTTTAGAATAAAATATAGGGCAAAACCTTCCTGACATTGGATTTGGCCTTGGTTTCTTGGATGTGACACCAAGGCACAGGCAACCACAACAACAAAAAATAGATAAATTGGGCTTCATGAAAATTTTAAAATTTTATGCATCAAAAGACACTATCAGCGGAGTAAAAAGGGACCGGGCAGAATGGGAGGAAATATTTGCAAGTCATATATCTGATAAGGGATTAATTTTCAGAATACATAGAGAATGCCTAAAACTCAACAACAGGAAGAAAAAAAAACTAATTCAAAAATGGGCAAAGGATTAGAATAGACATTTCTCCAAATAGGACAAACAAATGGTTAACAGGCATGTGAACAGATGCTCAACATCACTAATCATTAGGGAAATGCAAAGAAAAGCTATATGAGACACCAACTCATACCCATTAACATGGCTGCTATGAAAAGAAAAAAAAAAAGGAAAACAAAACCAAAATAAGTATTGGCAAGGATGTGGAGAAGTTGGAACACTTGTGCACTGTTGGTGGTAATATAACATAGCATAGCTGCTGTGGAAAGCAGTATGAAGGTTCCTCAAACAATTAAAAATAGAATTACCATATGATCCAGCAATTCCACTTCTGGGTATACACCCAAAAGAATTGAGAGTAGGGTCTTAAAGAGATATTTATGTACCATGTTGATAGCAGCAGTGTTCACAATAGGTAAAATGTGGAAGCAACCCAAGTGCCATCAGTGGATGAATGGAGAAACAAAACGTGGCCTACACATTTGATAGAATCGTCACTCAGCCTGAACTGCTTCAGTATGAACATCGACTGTAGCCGACAGCCACAGATGACCGCGCACAGCGACTTTAGCCAACAGCCGTGATGTGACTTTTCTAATTTTTCATTTATCAAAATAAAATTGTGAACATTTAAAAATAACGTAATGAAAACATATATGCATATG